GGGGGGAGAATCTCTTGAAAGGGCGCAGGAACTGCAACGCAAAATAATAGCCATGCTACATAGCGGTACATTTGAACTTCGCAAATGGGCGGCCAACAATCCGAAGCTGCTCGAAAACATTCCAACAGAACACAAGGCAACACATGGTGTGTTGCACCTCAACGCAAAGGAAACCATAAAACTTTGGGCCTATCATGAAACCCAGCGACTGACAATTTCGAATTCAATCTATATTTTAAAATTCCAAGGGTGCCGCCACAAAACGGAGCATTTTGTCAACTACAGCGCGTTTATTCGATCCGCTCGGCTGGTTTAATCCGGTAATAGTTACAGCGAAAATCATCATGCAACAATTATGGTCATTGAAACTTGGCTGGGATACACCAGTGCCAGACGATATACAAACTCCTTGGAAGCGGTTTATAGAGGAGCTACCTAATATCTCCCAAATACGTCTTCCACGCTGGTTGGATACTGGTGCCACTAATCCGGCTAAGGAGCTGCACGTGTTCTGCGACGCGTCTACACTTGCATATTCAGCAACAGCCTATCTACGAGCGCGCGATGATGGCGGAAAATGGTGCACCAGTCTACTACTGGCGAAGTGCAAGGTTGCCCCCATTAAACCGAAAATTACTATCCCACGAGCGGAGTTATGTGGAGCGCTTCTTGCAGCAAGGCTTGTTCAGTTTTTGCAGAGACACCTGCGCCTTCCTATCGATAATTCACGCATACATTTTTGGACGGATTCAATGATTGTTTTGGGATGGATTCGTGGAGATCCCAATCGTTGGAAAATTTCCGTATCTAATCGTTTCCATAAAATTTTTGAAGTTTCGGAGCAAGGTCAGTGGCGATACGTTGCATCAGAGGATAATCCGGTCGAGGACTAAGTTCACTGAAACTAGCGCGATATCAGTTATGGTGGCGCGGACCATCTTGGCTGAGCTTACCAGCAAGTGAATGGCCAAATCACAATATTACTGAAAACGTTACTGTTAAATCTGAGGAATGTCAAGCGAAGCAAATCAAAGTCAAATTCAGTAGTACTGAGAAAGATCACATCCACCACGTTATTGAAAAATA